TCACCCATACATACAAATCCTGGCCCCACCATTTCCTAACGTGTGACCTCAGGCAAATTCATTCATCTGTGAATGGAGAAATTAGGATCTCGGAAATTGCTTCCCTGCACATAGACAAAGCCCTCTACACAGGAATCATACCCTAAGCCAGGGACTGGGGCCTCTGGAAGTAAGGAAGCCTATGATTCTTCCAGTTGTTGGAACTCTTTTGAGAATGTTTCCTGGGGGACTGGGTGACAGGGCCAGGAAGAGGAGATTCAAGACAGAATCATCAGCAAGCAACAGCAAGTCAGCTATGCAGGAATAAAGCAGTGAGTTCTAAAAAGTCATCATTTGAGTCCCCATAGTGTGCCCAACACTTTTTGTATGTCACCTAGGTTGTCTCTAATCCTCACAGTCCTCTGAGGATTGTAACTAATCCCAATTTTGCACACTTCTGCTCTCCTTGCTTTATTTTTCTGCATAGCATATTCACTTCCTAATATACTGTATAATTATTTCTGTTATTTATTTTCTGTCCTCAGTAGGATGCAAGCTACGGAAAAGTAGGTATTCTTATGTCTTACTCACTGCTGCTTTCTGGAACCTGGAATAAATGAGCGAATGAATGCACGAATGGAGGCACAGAGAGATTAGTAACTGCTCTCTGTCAGACTACAAGTGAGTGGTAGAGCTAAGATTTAAGCCCAGGCCCATGTGCTACACAGACAACTAGGTAAGTAATGGCAGCTGTGACGATTCAAAACACTGTAAGGAAGAACAATGTGCAACATTTACTGAGTGGTTAACTAAATGAAGAGGTGCATACAGTCCAAGAAAAACACCAGATGCAGAAGGAGCAGGAACGTAAACCTAACTTTTGACCCTAACATGTGTGGGGAGGTGCAACAGATAATGTGACTCTGGTGGTCAAAACTCAAAAGGCAGACCTTAATCCTGCACATTCCGGCAGGGAACAGCAGTGTAGTATGATCTCTACAACATCCTGTATTACTTACATGTATGTGGTTAGTCCTTAAAGGTCTGGTCTCAAATCCTGGCCCCACCATTTCCTAACGTGTGACCTCAGGCAAACTCATTCATCTGTGAATGGAGATAATTTACATGGGTTTTCTGAAGACTGACCAAAGTTATGAATTTAGAGAAATCGGTACCCTGCCTACCATGTAGTAAATGCCCAATACGTATTATTTTCTATTAGATTGTTTTGGTGTGGCTGGAGAAGGAACAGGGTATTTTTAAAAGGACCCCTAAGGCAGAAGTTAGAACAGTATCTGAGTCCTTTCTGTCGGTTAACCCAGTTAAAGGGTTTTGAGCCCGGTCTGTAACAGCACCTGCTTTGCTTGGCATCCGGATTGGGATGGATTAAACCGCTCAGGGCAGTTTCTCAGAGGGTTTCTCTGTAGACTAGCCAATTCCAGGAGAGCTGTGAGGCAGCTCACAGAGGGGGTCTTTGGGATGAAAAGGACTCGGGCCTCTGCACAGGTTCAGAATTCAGAGCGATAAAAATATTTGCAGCTAACAGCACACCAAGTTAGGGCATTTCGCTTTACCCATCCAATCATCGCAGATATTTTTATCTTCATTTTGCCACCGTGGGAGACTGAGGCGTAGAACAGTTAGAAGATTTAATCACGGTCCGATGTTTAGGAAGAGATTGGGGCACAAGTTAAACCCGGGCCGCCAGGCTCAGCGGTTCTTTAAGGCGCCTGTTTTAGGATGGAGTGGCCCGACCGCTGCCCCGCGACGCAGGGGAGGGCCCACTGTTTTTGGGAAACGTGAGGAGAAGGACCGACCTTCCGCTGCCATAGAGCTGATCAGCACGGGCCAGACTAAATGTTTCCACCTTCAAGTTTGCAAAGTGTTGTGATTTATCCTCCCAAATGTATGCCTGAGTTCAGGTAACTACATTTTAAAAATAGCTAAGGAGAGCCCTAGCCAATTTGGTTCAATTTATAGAGCATGGGCCTGTAGACTGAAGGGTCCCTGTTCCATTCTGGTCAAGGGCACCTGCCTCAGTGGCCGGCTCCCTTTTTTTTTTTTGGGGGGGGGGGTGCAGGAGGCAGCCAATCCAAGATTCTCTCTTCATTGACATTTCCATCTCCCCTCTCTCCCTTCATCTCTGAAATCAATACAAAATTACATAGAAATCAACGTTCCGCCCTCCTTTCTGCGGGAGGTCCCGGCTGAAACAGTCAGCTCCCCTCAGTTCTACAGCAGGGAACCCGGCCTCTCCCCCCCGCCCCCCCCCCCCCCCCACACACACACCCTGCCTCCAGGTCCCAGGGACCGACACGTCTGGGGCTGGGAAACGCCGGTACCAGGTGGGGGCGGATCGGAGGCGTCAAACCCAGCGCAGGCCTAGCCCAGCTGGAACCGGGGGGCCTCCAGTAAAAGATGGGAGTTTTGTTCCAAGACATGCCCAAAAAAGGAGCGGGGAGAGGAGCAGGCCACCCCCGCCTTCGTCGTACCCGCTCCTCCAGGGGCGGCCTGCCTGCGGCACAGCTCCAAAATTGGCAACCTGGGCCTCGCAGCCTGCTTTTTTTAGCTCCCATTCCCCAAACCAGGCAAGAGGCGGTGACGAAAAAAATGCAAATTGGAGCGGGGCAGCAGCGGGCTGGCCCGTGGGTGCGGGAGTCTGGCGGCGGGGGGACCCCACGACCTCAGGTGCCCTCCGCCGCACCGGCGATGGGCACGGCGCGCCGGGAGAGGCGCTCGGAGCCGCCGCCGCCGGCCAAGACGCCGCCCCCGCTTCCGCCTCCCCGGCGGCGGCCGCACAATGAGCGGCCTCTTCTCCGCCGGGGGTAGGGGAGGGGAGGGGGGGCCGGATCGGGGCCCGCGCCTTCCGGCCTCGGCCCCCCCCTCCCGCCCCAGCGCCGCCGGCCGCACACAGGTGGTTTTCCGCTCAGGAGAGGCGGGCCCCGGCGTCTTTATGTAACAATGGAGCTCCGCGCCCCAGACTGCGCCTCCCGGTCGCCGAGGCCCCGGCCGGGCCCCGCCTCCATCCGGCCCCCCGCGAGCCCACCCGGCGCCTCGGCCGAGCACTGCTGGGAGGCCGGGCCAGCACCCGCCCCCCCCCCCCCCCCCCGTTACCTGTTGGCTCTGCAGAGCTGCAGAGACGTTCCCCGGGACTCCCCAAGCCCTCCTTAGGCGCCAGGGGACCCAAGCATGCAGCCCCCCTCACCCTCCCTGGGCCGCTACGGAGCCCACAGTCCCCCCTGCACCATTAGCGGAGTCGCCCCACCTACGGCGCCCACCTTGCTGGGAGATGGGTGATCGGGGTGTTGGGGGAAGGGAGGGGGGGGGGATGGTGACTAGGAGTGCAATGCGCAGGCGCGGCCTGTCCTCTGCCAGAGCCCCGTGACGCAGGGGAGGGGGCTGCGGTCCACGCCGGGAAGGGGGGGGGTGTGTTTGACAGGTCCCCCTTTGACTTGCCTCTCTGTCTCCACAGGAACTGCACGCCGAGCCCAATTTATCCCTACAACCTGCAGACCTTGAGGGAGGACTTTCCCGTGCCTCCACGGTGGTGGGACAGCCCAAGGGCACCGTGTGCCCTAGTGCACCTCGCGCAGGTGCTCCCGCCCGACCAGCTCTTTTTCGGAAGCCGAGCTTCCTGCCCAGAAATCAGTAACCAGCGCGCCCCCCGCCCCCTCCGCGCAGGGTGGGCGACAGGAACAACGGTGCTGGCTTCTCACGCTCCACGCCGCTGGGGGGGGGGGGGGTAAAAACACCAGACTATCCAACAAGTTTGTTTCTGCCGCCTTCACTGTTTGAAAATCATAATTAAAACGCTATTTAAAAAAAAAAAAAAGCTTGATGCCTATTATCTGGACAACAGATACTTGTTTGCTTGCTTGAAAATGTTTCCATATAACCCTGGTTTGTTTCCAAAGACGTCGGATTAACATTTAACACCTCGCCGGTCCCTAAAGCCCAGGCAGCCCAGCAGCCCCAACACAGCCTCGGCTGAAAGAACATCAGAGCACACAGAACTGGGCTTTTTAAACCGGCGAACAAATGTCACGCCGCCGAAAGGAGGGCGGGGGAGGAGGGGTAAGGCGAACTCCAGTCCAAGTGAGTTTAAAGGGAATAAAAAGGAAAAGGGAAAAAAAAAGCCAGTGCAAGTTTTCCTAAAAGCTAGCTTGCGAGCACAGGCGTCACGAACAAGGGCTTTTGTGCCGGCTAATTGCACCATTTGTGCGCAAAAGTTCCGACGCCGAGTGCGAACTCTCAACACAAGGAAACATGAGACAACTGAAGTGCCCTGGTTTGTGTGCCCCGCTCCTCCGCCGCCGCCTCCTCCTCTCCCTCCTTCCTCCCGCCGAGGCCGCTGTGGCAGCTTGTTTGCACTGGGGCTTATCCGGAGCGGAAATTCCTTTCCGTTTTTGTGAATGACAAACTCATTAACAATTCATCAACACAACCTGTTCCAGCCGGTCCGTCTCCACGGCAACAGCCCCTTCCGCAGCGCGCTCATTGGCTGGCCGGGAGAATGTATCCATTGAGACGCTCGCTGTTTGTATCCATTGAGGAGCTGCCCGGCGCAGGGGGTGTGCGAGGGCTGAGTCCGAGCGCGACGGGGAGAAAGTGTGCGAGGCTTGAATAACCGGAGGAGAGAGACAGACGCTCGGGTGGATTTGAGGTGTGTGCAGCCTCGGAGGGAGGGATTAGGAGCCGCTGGACTTTTTTTTTTTTTCCTTCTTCTTCTTCCTCCCCTTTTAGTAGCCCCGGAGTCCAAATTAATTGGATTTCATTCACTGGGGAGAAACAAAACTGTCTGGGCAGCTTCATTCAGAGCGATTCATTGACACCGAACGCGAGCGGCTGCAGCCGGGTGCAGAGGAGACCGGCGGCTGCGCTCCCGCCTCGTCGTCCCCAGCCGCCTCCGACCCGGTTCGGGGAGAGCGAGGCGGAACCCGACCCCGCTCCGGGAGCGGCGGCTGTGCCTGCCCCGCGGGGCGTCTGCTAGGCACCCCACCCTCTCTCGCAGCTCGACCCCCATGATAGATACGCTCAGACCCGTGCCCTTCGCGTCGGAAATGGCGATCAGCAAGACGGTGGCGTGGCTCAACGAGCAGCTGGAGCTGGGCAACGAGCGGCTGCTGCTCATGGACTGCCGGCCGCAGGAGCTGTACGAGTCGTCACACATCGAGTCGGCCATCAACGTGGCCATCCCGGGCATCATGCTGCGGCGCCTGCAGAAGGGCAACCTGCCCGTGCACGCGCTCTTCACGCGCGGCGAGGACCGCGACCGCTTCACCCGGCGCTGCGGCACCGACACGGTGGTGCTGTACGACGAGAGCAGCAGCGACTGGAACGAGAACACGGGCGGCGAGTCGGTGCTGGGGCTGCTGCTCAAGAAGCTCAAGGACGAGGGCTGCCGGGCCTTCTACCTGGAAGGTAGGTGTGGGGGAGCCGGGCCGGGCGGGGCGGGGGGGTGCGGGCTGCGAACCTGGCGCGTCCGCACCGGGGAGCCAGGCCGGCGCTGCATTCACCCGCTTCCGGGGAGCGGGCACCCGCAGGATATGCCCCGCCTTGCCTTGCTTTCTGCCGTTCGATTTTTGAGTTAAAATTTGCAGGGTGGGATAGGTCGTTGGGGTGCGTATTGGCATTTCCTAGCCCCTCAGAATATTCAGGAAAGTTGCCATTTTGTGCATTTCCGGATTCAAAAGAAATAAGGGCTCCCGGGGGAGGCGGGCCCGTTCGTCCCATTTCCAAGGGGTGCATGCACACGTAAGTGTCTGTACATCTGGTGCCGTGTGTCGGGGCGCGGGGGGGTCGGAAGGTGCTGTATGGTGTGTCCAGCGCCCGGCCGCGGTTTTCAAAGCTGTGAAAACTACTACGGGGTCTCGAGTTACACGGTTGCCTTTCTCGTCCTGGCAGGTGGCTTCAGTAAGTTCCAAGCCGAGTTCGCCCTGCACTGCGAGACCAACCTAGACGGCTCGAGTAGCAGCAGCTCGCCGCCGCTGCCGGTGCTGGGGCTCGGGGGCCTGCGGATCAGCTCCGACTCCTCCTCGGACATTGAGTCTGACCTTGACCGAGACCCCAACAGTGCCACGGACTCGGACGGCAGCCCGCTCTCCAACAGCCAGCCTTCTTTCCCCGTGGAGATCCTGCCCTTCCTTTACCTGGGCTGCGCCAAGGACTCCACCAACCTGGACGTGCTGGAGGAGTTTGGCATCAAGTACATCCTGAACGTCACCCCCAACTTGCCGAATCTCTTTGAGAACGCAGGAGAGTTTAAATACAAGCAGATCCCCATCTCGGATCACTGGAGCCAAAACCTGTCCCAGTTTTTCCCTGAGGCCATTTCTTTCATAGGTGAGACTCGATCACAGTACTCGCTCACTTTTAAATGCAAAAGTCTTAGCTCCCAGACTTTTAAGCTTTCAGTCTTTCTCGCTGCTTGCTCATGTTGTCAGTCTACAGGTCTCTAATATTCCGAGGGCCTTCTTAGTTCTGATGCATCTTGCTAAGAAAAAAGCACCTTTTGCTAAGGCTATTGACCACAGGTGTATTTAAAATGCCAGCTGAGCCTTTCTTTTAACTCTTTGAGTTCAGTCATTTGGAAGGGGAGGGGTGGCATTCACAATCAGACTACCGAATATTCCGACAATCTTTGGAATGGGTGGGAAGGCTAGAAAGAAGTACTTATGGTAGACAGGAATTCTAGCATTGCTCAAGAATTTTAAAAGATCTGGGAGCGATTTTATGACATCGAGTTGGTTGTTGGAAAGCCCCCAGGAGTGCTTAGATGTTAAAATCCAGTTGAATGTTACTGTGATACCAGTGCAGAGTGAGACAATGCGGGTAACCTGAGCCCAGCAGGAAGGACTGTGGGCTGGAAGCCTGGAGGAGCGAATCTGCAGGCATTGTAATGCATTTCCTATTACAAAGGAACTCATTTTCAGGCCATGTCGACATCCTGTTCCTCCTAATGGGCTGTCCCCTGTGACTTCCCTCTCTCTTTTAAAATGCCTGAATACCTCCATTGTTAGCTGCACAACAGTTGGGGAATAATTTAATAGACCCTTGCAGTCTGCTTGTCTGTATAAAAGGCATTCACTACCATATTGCAGGGTTTCTGGTATTCACATGCTGAGGCAAAGAATGCACACATTAAGGAGTTTTTTGTTGGCAGAAACTTAATACAAAAGCTCCCTTTTCAGAAAACATCTGAAATATGTAATTGTGCCCAGTGTACATGTTTTATCGAAATGATACTTTTTTTTTTTTTTTTTGGTGCCTGCAGGGCTAAACTGCTACACACGATTACTTTCTGAATCCTTAAAAAAAAAAAAAATCTTTTAGACTGTTCATTCACAAAGGGTGGTTTTCGGTCTACTGAAAGCTTGCCTTTCTTGTGTTTACAGATGAAGCCCGGGGCAAAAACTGCGGCGTCTTGGTGCATTGCTTGGCTGGCATCAGCCGCTCAGTCACCGTGACCGTGGCTTATCTTATGCAGAAGCTCAATCTGTCCATGAACGATGCTTATGACATTGTCAAGATGAAGAAATCCAACATCTCCCCCAACTTCAACTTCATGGGTCAACTGCTGGACTTCGAGAGGACCCTGGGACTCAGCAGCCCCTGTGACAACCGGGTCCCCTCACAACAGCTCTACTTCACCAGCCCCTCCAACCAGAATGTCTACCAGGTGGACTCCCGGCAATCCACGTGAAAGGCCCCACACTACTCCATGTTGGGATGTGTCCTTTCCTTCAGCAGTTTCTCTTGGCAGCATCGGCTGGGCTGCTTTCTTTGTCTGTGGCCCCAGGTGTCCAAATGACACCCGCTGTCTGTTAGACAAGGTTATTATATGTGGAATTGGTTATTACAAAGGGAGAGATTTGCTCCATTCTCGATGGAAACAACAGGACTTGCTGTGTAGATACAGGCAATAGGTTGCTCCACACCCATGTGTACAGCCTACCCATGCAGGACTGGAATTTGAGGACTTCCAGATAAATAGGGTAGGACCAAATGGTAGGATAGGAGCATGTGTTCTTTGGGGCTTTGTACCACTGTTTCTTTTTGCATCTGGAACTGACTATGTTGTCTTCAGTGAAGACTGATTAGTTTTGCATATAGAGGAGCCAAAGACAGGTTTCAGCTCTGTAGTATCAGTTTGCAAAAAAAAACACACACAAAAAAAAACAACACACATGCATTAATAATAGATAAATCTGATACTCCATTTGATTATTGTAAATATTTGATCTTAAATCACTTGGCAGTGTTTGTTTGAACTGTGTTTGTTTTTTCTTTGATGGGTTTAAAAGGAATTGTCCAAAGGAAGAAAGCGGTATACCACTTCTTGCAACAACAACAAAAAAATGGAAACCTTTGCTCTTTTCTAATCCAAAGGATATATTTGCAGCATGCTCGACTTTACCAATTCTGAATGACATTTTCGCGGACTCTATAGTCGCTGAGACCTTTTTATGGTGCAGTCTTAAGTATCTTTCATATATCTTCCTTGTGATTTTCCCCACCCCCTTAATGTAGTTTGACTATGCCTTACCTTTGTAAATAGTTTGGCTTGTGTTGTCTTAAAGGGGATACCTTGGAAAGGCACCAAAATCAATGGGCTCACCTGTTGTTTTTTTTTGTGTGTGTGTGTGTGTTTTTTTAAACTTCAGCTGTGCTAAACAGTATATTACCTCTGTACAAAATTCTTCAGGGAGCGTCACGACCTCTAATGCAATACTTTGGGTTGGTTTCTTTCCTTTTAAAAAATTTTGTATACAACTGGAAGTGTGTGTGTGAGCATGGGTACCCCTTTGATAGGTGAAGTGCATATGATTGTGAAGAGGGGGAGAGTTAGGTTGCTTCATTATATTCATGGTGTAAAGTTTTGAGATGCAATTTATTATAAGAATGTAAAACCTTAAATTATTAATAAATAACTATTTTGGCTATTGAATGTGTGTATTTTTTTTTTAATTCTTAATTGTACTTGAATGTGAAATGACATTTTAGGTACTTTCCACTTGGGACTGACACTGGCTTGTAAAAGCTTAATCTTTTGCTTCAAATAAGGATGGCATCATAGAATGGACTGATTATATCAGGTGTATGGACAATATTTCCTGTGAATATATATAGTTCTGGCTTATAATAATTTCACAGGAAATGTTGGGGTATAAAATGAGATATTAGTGAAAAAGTCAACAAGGGGGCCCAGGAGCATCAGAATTAAGATGACAGTAACAGGGTTAACCTCTCCTTTCTCCATCAGGATCTTCTCACTAATGCATATGCCAAGGAGAAAGAAGGGATAATTATTTTTCCAGTCAGTTACTATCTGGCAATTCTACTTGCAAATTAATCTTAAACTGGAATAACATGATCAGAAGTGGTGTTTTTGTTTTCTCGTGTGTGGCAAAGCATATCCAAGCTTCCTCACTGGAGCCTGGATTTGGCCTGAGTGTTGTACATTGGCATTCTAGTTGAAGCTTTGTCAACCCTGTTCTAAGGTACTTGGTGCTCAACTGGTTTAGAATGTAGGTCAGAAACCACAACTGAGCCTAACCGAGGTTATTTTGAACAGTTTTTTCAAGGTAAAGGCTTGTCATTTGTTTGGGACATCCCCTCTCTTTGTCCCAAGTGTAACAAAACACACAAGCCAAAAATAAAAGTAAAGGGCAGGCATGAGGAAAAGAACTACAACATCACTACATTTTGTATTCTCTTCAAATGTGCTTTTGTCCCTTTTTCTGCAGTTGGGAAGAAGATGAGCTTTTCACCCACATGGCACATGTCAGATGCCAGTTGGGTGGTTTGGTAATTTTCATGGTAGGCATGTGGCCCTGGTTTTATGGCAACCATAGCTCGCTGTCCAGCGGGGCTTTCAGTGAGTAAGCATGTATAAAAGGCAAGTGCACACAACACTACCAAGTCAGTCTCCCATTCGGCTTCTCCAAGCCAGCCGGAGCTCAGAAAGGAGAAGTGGGTTGCAGTTCCACTTGGCCCGTGTTAATCCAGTTCTGAACGGTTTCCGCTTCTGGCATTCCCTAGACTGGCTGTTCAAAGTGGGGATTTGCAAGCAGCGCTAGCAATTTCCTGTCCAGCTGCAGCTCAAGTAGCTGTGTGCTTCTCCCCCCCCCCCCCTTTCTTTGTTCTGGTTTCTCTCTATCTTCTTTTTTCTTTCTTTTTTCTTTAACACGGGCTGTGGATAATTTTAGTGCATTTCCTCTCTGTGGATTATCATCTTTCCTCCTCAAACTTGCATACATTGAGTTCCTACTGCTCTGCTCAAGCAGACAGCTGGCCTCCCCAGCACTTCCTCTCCGTTCACTGTGGGTTTGTTGTTTGTCAGTCCACTTCTGAAATTAATAATGTTTTCTGGCCGAGTGCCACAAGCCATTACCACAAAGGGGAAGTAACACATATGAATAGCAGGAAGCCGTGCAGGGTCACAGTGTGAGCTGAACCTGCGGAGGGAACATAATTGAGCCTGGCCCATTCAGCAAGTGTCTGACATCGATTTGGGGCGAGGGAGCTCAAGCTGTGAAGAAAAAAAAAATAAATAAAAGTTTCCAATAGATTGGTAGCAAATGGTCTTTGTCATCAGTAAAAGAGGGAGCCAGAAGAGTTTCGGGCCCCCATAAAGTTGCAATGCTTGGGATTTCTCCCCCACCCCCGCTCCCCTCCTGGTGTATTGTTTCAGAAGGCTGGTGAACAGAGGGGGACCTGCCTCCCTCCACAGCCACAAAAGGACTCGTGTTAAATGGGTGGTTTTTATGGTTCACACAAGTCAAAGGATTCAAAGAGCTATTCTCTCTCTTTTTTCTTCTGTGGGAAGTGGAAGGTTGTAACTGACAGCGTGAGCCCCCACCTCACCTTGGCCTCCCTTCCTGGCCATCCCTCTATCCCTCTGGTTCCTTTGTGCTTGTGGGAGCCGCGGGAAGGCGGTCATTTTGCATCTTGGAGTTGGGCTCACTTCCTGAATGGAGCCTGCAAGCGGTTACTAGGGCAACCTTAGCCAGCAGTGGCAGCTCCGCTCCCTCCTCACCTGCTGTCCCCATTAGTGGCTTCCTCAGGTCTTGGAGAAAGTGTTACCTTTCCTGGCCTTCCAGGGTTAGGGGCACCTTTCTGGGAAGGAGGTTTTCTACAGGTTGGGGGGGGCGGGATGGGAGATTTAGGGGATGCACTGGTTGATGGTATAAACTAACTTTAGGGTTAAAATCAGACAGAGAAAGAATTATCTGGGGATAGAAACACTAGCACAGCCTTCAAAGGAGTGAAAACGGAGACTTGCCCAGACCCAATAATTAGGAGCCCTGAACTCTAACTCTTGCTCTCTACTAATGAGTCAGACAGCCCCAGGCAAGTCAGCCTGCCTCACTGAGTTTTTTTTTTTTTTTTTTTTTTCTTGTCTATAAAGTGAGAGTCTTTGCCTTTCATTCTAGGATTCTCATAATTCCAACCTTCTGGTCATGGGTGGGTGACACAGAGTAGCTGAAATAAGGTGCAGGGAGGTGAAACCATTAATGTTTATTGAGACTCTCAGATGCTGTACTTCATATGCAATATTATATCATTTAATCCTCAAACAGCACTTTGAGATAGATCCTATTATGATCCTTATTTTTCAATGAAGGAACCGAGGCAGAGAAAGGTCAATAACACCTAAAGTCACCTGATGGGAAGTAGTTGAATTGAGCTTTGAAGCATTAGCTCTTTTTGTAACCAGCTTGCCATAAGTATTTGCTTGTCTTTATGAAAGTCCCGTGATGTTTAGTGGGAAGTGGTGACCCCATTTTACAGCTGAGGAAGTGGAGGAAGCAGAGGTTAAGTGATCTGCCAAATCAAACCCAAAATCTCAGCCAAATCACGAGAGAGCCAGAAGGCCCCAGCTGGTGAGTTGCCAGAGATATCTGTCTGGAAACTTCCATTCTCCCTTCCCACAGAGAAGTTGCCCTTTCTTGGACTTATGGGCATATAACTTACAAAACTGATTTTCCTAAGGATCCCTGGAGTGACTAGCAGCTGTCCAGCTAGCCCTGACCCTTGCACACACTCCCCTTTTAGGATTACATCAGTGGAAAGGCCCCAAAGAAATTCAATTCCTCAATATGATTCCTCTGGAGAAAAGGTGGGGGGTGGGGGGAGAGGGAGGGCAGGTGTTCAGGTAGGGAAGAAAGAGAAAGAGGTGGGGGGAGAGAAAAGTAAGGGCAGATCATGTGATAGCAGGCTGTAAGTAAATATGCTTGAAAAGTCACCTAAAAAAAAAAAAATCAGTGTTTAGACCTTAAGCTGTTTCAAAAGAATTACTTTGAGTATACATTTATATGCAGTTTCTCACGAAGTAATAATCATTTTCCAGAAGGTACTGCAGACTGAAATTCCAAATACTCTTACTCTTGTGTTCTTATCACAACTGGCCCCAATCAGTCCAGTTTTAGTGATAGAATCTTCAAGCTTCTTTAGTCCAAAATTGATTTCCTAAGAGTATTTAAGGGCACAGAACAAAGTTCAGACAACTCACAAATATTTATCCGGGCCTTGATCTGTATTGCACTGGTTTGATGAAACAAGGTTAAACTAAAAGGCAACAGAAGACTTAACAAGCCCTTAAAGACTGAAGGCAACGTGGGTTTCTAAGTGTAATCACTTATTCTTTCTGGGTGCCCAAATCGGAACAGAAACTTCAAGGAACAATTGGGCAAGTCCTTG